CAGTCCAGCTATGGAGTTGAGAGAAAGTAGTAATTTTTTTTCTATAGCAACGAAGATTAAAATGAAATAATCCATTTACAGCGCATTTATCCAATTAGCTTACGGTTACGGCTCTTCATATAGCAAAGAGATTTTTTGTATGTAGGTATTTTAATGTGTAAGAGCTTTGTGTCGTACCGAATTAATAGGAAGTCATCAATTAACGATCAACATGAAATTAAAACGTCATCACGCGTAAAATGTAATTAATCAAAGCAAAAACGCTTTAATGGTTATAGACATTGAGGTGTATATTCATTTTGTTAGGAAATATTTTGAGCCACAAAAAGAGCGATCTGCATCCAACGTCTTCCCAGCTTTTTTGAGATGTCGGGCTAGATGATTTTATTATTTATGTATATGTATTTGGATTACCAACAAATTACACTTGTACATTTCCAAAGAACACATATAAATTAAGATGGATTTTGAGTGAAATTTTATTTACAGCTGATAACGACAAGCAATTGACAATCAAATTTAGACAATACCGTGGAAAATAAAACCGGACAAATGCGAGGTGGACTTGCTCACTGACCGAACAAAGTAGGTAGGTACGCAACATGAATGGCCGTATCATTTTTTAGGGTTTCGATTTTACCTTTTGGGTACGAATTCCTATTTCTGTCACTCGGTCGACAGTCTGTCCGTCCGTATGTCATGTATCTCTAGATAACAAATTAAGTCTACATTTCATGTATGGGTGCATAATTACATGAAAGGGAGATGATTTTTTTAATTATACTTATTAGTTTTATTACTAATATTAATTCAGAATCACCCCGTGGGTTAGTCAGACACCAAAATAGATCTTCTTTTGAGATTAAACAAAAAGAAATAAAGAAATTAACTATTAATTAAAAAACACTAAATATTTCCCATGTTTTCATGGCCACACAACAAATTATTCAGTAATTTATGAATCGGACTAATCTTGTTAATATTAAATGAGTTTAACAAATTGTATTGAGATTCTGTTAGGTATGCGATGCATTAAAATATTTTACTCGTTAGCGGGTTTTGTTTGTCTATCTGTGAATTTTAAACGACTGGCATGTGCCAATAGCATGTGCTATTGCTTTTCAGATGGCCGATCATTATTTGGAACGAACTAACGAAGTTCCTCTTCTGACGGTATGTCTGATGGAGGATTGGCGAAAAATAAAAGATTTTTCTGTCACTCTACCTAGCGAGGCAGCTGGGTGGGTAGCTAGATGGTCAGGTGGGTAGACCACTGACGGCGGTAGCTGTGGACTTGGTTTAAATAGTTTGACTGAATAGGGGGATTGGGCCATGAGCCACCACGCTGGCCCAGTGCGGATTAATGAATACGATACTTTTCTGGATGGAATAAGGGAGATTGGACCAAGACTCGACACGCGGCCCGTGCGGCTTCTTGGGTAGGATAAACTTTTTTTTATGGAATTTGGAGTTTGCACCACGACCCACCGCGCGACTCTAGTACGGGAGATTGGGCCATGACTCGCCGTGCGGACCCAGTGCGGATTGGTGGGTAGGATACTTTTTTATGGAAAAGGGAGGAATATTAGGCCATTAGTTGCCACACAGGCTCATTGCGACTTGGTGGGCCACTACGCGGACCCAGTGCGGATTGGTGGGTGGTGTTGGATATATATTTTTTTAACGTCGTTCCAACCATGTGCTCAACGAGAGTCACCTTTGCTTTTTTATCTAAGAATGCAATTTGCAGTACAGGTTTAATGACCTCCATTGCAAATCAATCAAGAGCAGTAGGTACCCTTAGCATGAACCAATATCGGATTCCAACAGTTTGCAAGTACGAATTGTCATTATCACATTTTGTATGGAAACTTGAAAAGCACCGCAACAACGGACGCAACGAGAACTAAAAAGCTATACATATTTGACGTATAAAATCTCAAAGTATAAAATAGATCGAATTCAACGCCGGCTGTAGGTTATCCATGATAATTTCCCACCCGCTCCCCCGCGGAGAAAATAAAAAGATGAGAAGGTATTAGTCCAGCCAACGAATGCTCAAAAACAGGTATAGAGGGAAATGCTTGGAACACAATTTTTGACTTCGTAACTTTGTTAGGACTAGTTAGGAGGTAATGGGGGGGGGGGGGTGATTGAAGGTCCTATTTTTAGGTTTTTCGCATATATCTCGGAAACAATGCATCCTAGCGACATGAGACTTTAACAAAAATGAAAGCTGATTAAATTTTCTACAAGTCTTTTGATATCTTGTATAGTTTTCGAGATATCCGCTCTTCATCATCAGCCTATTAATGTCCCCACTGCTGGGGAACAGGCCCTCTCTATGGATGGAATAGGGAGATTAGGCCATGACCCACCGCGCGGGCCCAGTGCGGATTGGTAGGTGCTAACGACTGCAGATGCAGCCGGGACCAACGGCTTAACGTGCCTTCCGAAGCACGGAGGAGCTCGAGATAGTAAATTTTTGGTCACCCATCCAATGACCGACCACTGCGAAAGTTGCTTAACTTCAACGGTCGCAGCCGAACGCGCTAACCACTTGCGCCATCGAGCTCCTCATCCGCTCTTGAAAGTCTGTAATTATGAAAAAAAAAATTGCCACCACGTCCTGGGAATGCTGTTTTACTGCTCCCTCGGTGGGAGGAAGACAAGAAATATCAGGCTTGATGGTGGCCACTGATTTCAAGAATGACTTGTACCTGTAGGCATTAAGGGAAATCTCTTTCGCTGGAGCTCCATACCACCTTAAGATGCAGGTTTCACCTGCCTTTTGTACTTGAGCGGTGGTGGAGAAAGGGTGTGAAAAGACTGCTGCTGCTTTCTGGATTTCTGGTGACTTCATAATGTCTCTGGTCTCTGGGAAGGGAGGAAATTTCTCAAACCAATCGGTGAGCTTGGCAATGTCAGCTCCATCCTTGTTTTGGCGGGCTTGTCCGAAATCTGCACGCTGCTCACTGGAGGAACCAACAACCGTACGGCCAGCATTGTAGAAGAGTTATCCTGTCAAATAGAGCAAAAATGTGAAGCAAATTTATTTTCCAAAATTACAGACTTTTAAGAACGGATATCTCGAAAACTTTACAAGTCAAAAAACTTGACTGAATAAAACTTGTAGCAAATTTAATCAGCTTTCACTTTTGTTACAGTCTCATGTCGCTAGGATGCATAGTTTCCGAGCTATATGCGAAAACCTTAAAAATGGGACCTTCAATCTCCCCCCCCCCCCCCTTCCCCCCGGCTTAAGGGCTACGGGCGGGGACTTTTGATATGTTTACCTCCTAACTAGTCCTAACAAAATAACGAAGTCAAAAATTGTGTTCTAAGCGTTTCCCTCTATACCTTTTCGTTGCCTGGACTATATCAATACTTTTGGTTTCGATATCGTGTCTCTATACCAAGTAAACTCCTTGGTTCACATTCTAAATTCGAATGCGATCATGAGCCGTGCTTGCCGCACCTGCAATCAGCGACGCGACGTTGCCGCACCGTTGCTCGCAGTGCGGCGGTCGGCCGCACGGCGTAGGTGACGTAACAAAATGGCCGCAAACCCGCGCCGCGTCATGGCTACGTCTCCGCTCGTGCGGCGAGCTATAGTTTAGGAGTCGAGAGTTTTATTGACACACCTTGGTATCGCTTGATATTGACTCAATAAAATTTGGTGATATTAAAACATAATGGCTCGGGTTTATTTTGATTGATTTAAAAAGTATGATTGGACTTCATTGTGTATTTACAAGAACAAAGTTGACTTAGATATTAAGATAGAAAGTAATGAAAAAATAAAAGTAATATAAAATGTTAATTTAATTGTTATTATATTATAAAAATAAATATTTATAACGTAATATCAGACAACGAATAAGAGAACATTAAACAACAACAAACGAACAGAATAATAAACCACTTGAAATTATTAATAACTATAAATTAAAATTCACTATTGATTGTTATTACTATTCATTTTCACCATTTATAAAAGTTTTATTTTACATTATTTTAGCCCAGTTATTTAAATTATCAGAATTAACTAAGTTATTTTTGTGATAGTTTACCTACTAAAATGTATTTAATGATTTTTGAAACGTGTACAACATATTATGTGGGCTGGGCACAGACTATTATCTATCGCTAGGTAACGATAGCTCGACAGTTAAAAAGAAAAGGAAAATATTTCAGTGATTCTCACAATTTTTTAACGATCCTCAATAACAATACAATTACTAACCTAACATAACCTTTATATTACCAATTGTAATGTTAGGTGATTAGTAATTCTCTTTTGAGGGTGATTTCAATATTTCCCTTTTATTTTAAACTAACGAGTAAACTAATAACCAATTTAAAGCAATATAAATATACTACAATATTTTTTTTATTGATTATTACAATGACATGATCTTTTTAATAAATATTAAATGTTTTAATGATTGGATTGGTTTGTCCACGTAGCAGCACGGATCACTTTAGTTCATTCTAGATTCGTGATTCATCTTGCTGTTGACACTTATCACTTGCGAACTTAAGAAATGCTCAGATTTATTTACTTGATAATTTTAGACAATTCACATAAGTAGTGTTAAGGCGAACGCCATCAAGAAGTAACTGCCAAACGTCACATATAATGTTATCTATGAACGTTATGAGCAGAAGTGTGAGGAAAAGGGAAGGAATATGATTTTCCAAACCATCGCGCAATAAAGATAATTCTACGGCTTAGGTTTTAATTATAATTAATATTGCTACTAAGCAGTTTCACTTTCTTATTTCATTTTTATGTTGTATTGTATCAGTGGCGTGGCGTTTTATTGAACCATAACAATGAAAAATAAAGTTACGTCAAGATAAATAACTTTTGAATAATTTAAAACTTTTGCAATTTTAATGTATCGCCCTTGGTCTACAGCGCCATGAGTGGCGCAAGGTCTGTGCGATGCGGCAACGTCGCATGAACCGATCGCATCGTGGCGTCGCTCGCACCGTCGCCCGCCTCCTCGCATTTTAGTTCCATCGCAATTGTGACGCACGATCTACGTCCGTTCGCCGCGCGATAAATCTAAATATATCAACGAGTGTTAATTTAAAGATTACAAAATGTACAATCCAAAGTCTCCTTCATCCAAAAGTTACTACGCTCTCATGGAAAAACTTATACAAGAAGTGAAATCGCGACCGGTGTTGTGGGACAAATCTCAAAAACGCTGTCACAGAAACAAGATTGCCAGAGAATGGGTCAAAATAGGAGAAATATTAAAGAAAGACCGTAAGTGCTTTTTTGCCTTTTCGTACAATTATGTAAAAGATTGCTTTCATTTTGGCGCCAATTTCGATCACTGTCGAAACAGTTCAAAAATGGAATTTCAATATTTTTTAAATGAGGGATAGATAGGTATTGGTTACATTCTTGTTAATTTACACTCTGTAAGTATGTGTTTCATTTTTTTTTTATCAGATTACAAAGTAAACATATCGTACAAGGCGCTTAAACTTACATAGATGTAATTTAGTCTCATATTTGTCGCATTCAGAGACATCAGTTAAAATGATTGCTTGTCAAAGTGACGCATGGTGTTTTTGTATTGGCCGTTTTTACCGAATTTATTTTATAGGATTATTCCCATACAAACTTCCACCCCTTCTTCACTCCTTTCAAGGATAATTTCTGGGCAAAAAACTATCAAAAGTCCTTTGCCGGGACTCAAACTACCTCTTTACAAGTTTTCGGCGCTCACAGTTTGGAGGTTTAAGTACCTACAACATAATAATATGTATAGTACCTTATGAAGGTAATCTACATACAAGAACGCACACATAGACACCGCTCACGGACACGTAAAGTCCAAGCACGAACTTTGACTCCGTAATCGTATCGTCATCGTCAAGTTTTGTATGGAAGGAGCCAGTTTGTGCTTCCATCCGGTAGGGGCGGCTGCACGTACGAGACAGTGTGTTGTCATGTCACGTTATGTGATGTCAAGTCATAATCCAATCCAATATCGTTTATTCAGTCTAGGCTGTGACAAGCACTTGTTACGCCATCGGTTCGCAAATCTACGGTGGGAGACCTTGTACTGAGAAGAACCAAGAAAGTCAGCAAGGGCTGTTTTTTTCTCCCTGTATTATATACAGAGTCGTCAAATTGAAAACTGACTTCAATATGAGATAACTCATGAAGAAGCAACAATTATGACTATAAAATTAAAATAAATATAAAAAAAAATTTTAAAAAAAGTTTAGGAATGCCGTGTCCTAATGTACGATTGAAGTTAAATACAACGATTAATAGTAATCATAATCAACCCCCCTCCCCGTTCCTCGACCCCCTTGACTACCCTCCCCCCCTGACCTGGCTACCTGTCTGCCAGCGGACTGAATCTCATGAACATGATATAGAAGAAATAGTAACACAGCGCTTTTCTATTTCTGCTGCTTCTTTAAAAAAACCTTAATCAATAGCTCTAATTAAAATATTGGTTTTCATACCTTGTACAACCACCACAACCAGAAAAATTATCTTAATGGTTCTTCTAGTATCTAGAAAGTACCAAAAAGCTCAAAGTCGGTTTGATAAATTTTGCAGATTTGGTTTGTTTGCTGTACGATACGCAACCCGAAAGCGAGCGCACTCGGCTGGCTTTTAACTACATATATTCTAAGTGTTTTATTTATTTAAAAAAGTCTTTTTATTAATTATTTTTTTAGATTTAAACATATAGCAGTTAAATACTTAAAAAATAAAAAATATTTTTTTTGTTACAGCTTTAGACATGAAATCCAAATGGCGTAATGTAAAAGACACATTCCACAGAGAAGCGAAGAAAATGAAAATACCACCACCAGAAAAGAGGGATCAACCTATAATTGAATATTACGAAGGACAGTGGTTACATTTCGAGAATCTCCTTTTTCTCTGGGACGAGGTGAAGTTTGGGAATCAGGGTGGCGAAACTGATAAAAGCAAACGACAGGATTTTGTTTCGATAGAAATTACCGAGGATAAACTTAAGAAAAATATTATCATGAAACATGAAATCACTGATAGTGAAAATGACACAGATGGGAATAACGAATCAGAATATCAAGACCAAGACTCGGACACTGAAGACATACCTATACAGGATTTGTTCAACAAGGACACCCTGGATGCCCTAGATCCTATAGGCCGTAATTCTGAAGGTAGCAGGAAAAGGTTAGCTGGTAATGATGATACTGAAACACCCACACCCAAAAGGAAACACTGTATAGATTCTAACAAAAACGATTCAGACATTGATGAAGATTTGCACTTTGCGAAGTCTCTAGTACCATTCCTGAGAAAATTGAACCCAATAAAAAAGTTAATAATAAGAAACGAAATACATAGTTTACTATTGAACGAGTTGTTGTGTAATCGTTGTAAATCTGGCGAAGGACCTCTACCAAATTGTAAATGTAATTTTAAATAAACATTCTATAATAACTTGTTATAATTTTGGTGTTTGTCGTGTTATCCACCTTTGTACCTTGGTAAGAGATGGATAAGGATTTACAACATCTTCATTTTTTTAATAATGTCAGCGTATTTGTTACCTCCTCGATGAAAAGCGTTATTCACGATGCAAGTATGATGTACATATATGATTTACTTAATATAATGGCATCGATTGTAGGAACGATAAAAATATTTAAGGGTACAGTGGTATTTAATTAAAAGATCCTTTTTTTTTAACATGAAGCAATAAATTTAATTATTTATATAGTGATTATTGCTCATTAGGTACAAATAATATTTAAGTAATAATAATAATGGGCCTAAATAATTTTAGTATGATTCTCTAAATACTCATACTCTGCATAGGATCATAAGGGTACGCATTTTTTTTAAATTATGATCCTATGCAGATTGTAAAACATTATTTCGGCAATATTGTTGTAATAATGGTAAAAATCCTTCTATTACCAACTATTTTTTGTTCATTTCTGATTAACTTTTGCCCCTGATAGATTATGAGTGAAGTGCATATTTTTACATGTCGGGATTGGGTTCGAAATTCTAATGCCAGTTTACGCTTTAAGTTCTTTATTCATCATATAGTTCACACAATGAACACTCAATATTAATTATAATAGACTCACTGTACAATATATAACTTCATATAGAATTATAACGAGTAACGTATCTAACCAAAAACACACTAAAACAAGAAAAAAAACTTTTGATTATTTACATAAAGCAGTTTTATTAGTAATACTGTTTACTGACGTTTTACGTAAAGTAATACTCTAAATAACAATACAATAATAATAAACCTTATAGGTACGTATATAAAAAAGGTAATTCATTCTTTATAGAATTCATGAAAATGGTCTGTACCTATCTAAATACCACGCGGAAATAACATTTTGAGATTTTATTGCAGCCGTGGAACAACTTCCGATGCAATCATAACTGGAAGTCGAGCATCGCACTTTTTCAGGTAGTTTACTCAGAAGACTGCTGGAATGCGCCATTCCAACTGAAACAAATGCAATAGTGGAGCGTGCGTTTAGTGTTTGCCAGTATCATGAATATGAATGTATGTCGATATTTTACCACTTTTAAGAAGAATATTACACTAATAAATAATCATTTTTATTTTTATAAAACAAGTTAGACGTATCTTTACATGGCTCTAGCTATGTTTTTTCTTTTGCATCGAATAACTTTAATGGCGTCAACCTTTATAGCAAAGTAACGAGTACTCAGCGAAAGATGTTGATCCACATTGATGAGCTGCACGCATCTGACTGCTTTCCGCAATTTCCTTAAGTTTATGGGTCCACCTGGTGGGGGGTCTGAGCACCGGCTGGTTCATGGCCACTACTCAGAGAACCTTTCCCCCGGAACGGCCATCTGTTCTCGCTGTATCCTGCCCACTGCCACTTTCTACCCATCTATTTATCTTCACGCCGAGTCACGGGTCCCGGGTGGGGTAAGCAGAGAGCCATAAGACACGGCTCGTACACATATCTTTCGCTTCATTCACAATCAAAATCAAATCACATGTCCTAATCAACGAAGCATGCCTATGTCAATTTTAACATCGTTATTTTCTTTTACACTGATTCTCTCCCTTACTTCCACATTACGAACGCAGTCTGTTACTCCGCAAATTTTACGTAATGCTCGCATCTCGACTATTTAACTTTCATGCTCTTTCTGACATACCCAACTCTGGCTTCCATACATAAGCGTTAGGACCAGCGTCACGTTGTGTATAGCGAGCTGTACCTTCTGGCTAAGGTTTTTACTGCAGAGAAGTTTTCGCAAACACACCAACATTGATGCCAAATCACGGCAAAAAGCTGCCGCCAGTCCGCGCACATGCTGTAGTCTTCATAAGTTGATTGCACAGCAAGCAACAGGGCAACATCAAACACATAATTATCTCGGCAATATATAGGTAATAATGCTTCCTCTAGCACCACAAAACCGCAGGAAACGTTCCGGTCCAGAGCAGCATCCTCTTTACGTCGCGTTCGCTACCGAGGATTCAACTTTCGCATCTTCTCTTTGCGCACCCACATACATCTTTTGCACTATCCATCATAAATTCTTTCAAAACTTTCCAACAATCATCTACGTCTAGGTCATCAAGGCTCACGTCTGCAAGTCTCATTAACCAGACCTACAAACTTAATCCTTACGCTCTCATCTTAAACTTTTGAATTTTAATGCTTCCAACATCTCCGAGTGGGATACGCTCACTAGTGTCTCTAGCTGAGCAATTCTTATGTTGATATGTACCAATGTACTACATATTCTTCGAGTTTTTTAGTTCTGTGAATTTTGTCGCTAAGTGATTGGGATATTACAATAAAATTTCACCATTCAAATCGGTGTATTCTAAGTTATTACAATTTAAAGTCACGCAGACGTGCAGTAATGTGATTTCATACAAAATTTAACTATCAAGACTGATAATAGATGGCGCTGATTCTTTCTACATCGCGGCAAAATTTACGATTGTTTTATGGTAATAGTAACTTCAATACAGCACATATAACTTTTTCGAGTTTAAATAACAAAATTATTAAAATGCTTCGAAAGATATTAGCGCTGTACCAGTCCGCATGGTGTCGCCGTCGTCCGGTCGTAGGGATTTAATAATAGTAAGTATTAAAAATATGTAAAAAGATAATCACCGTTTGTTTGTGATTTCGTGTGGTTTTATTTAAAATAATAATAAACGTAGAAAAGGTTTTGTTTTGATTTATAAATTAAAGAATATTAGTTTTACACACAAATCAAATAAAATTTTTAGTTTACTTTAAAACCCACTTAAAAATATTATTAGAATGTACTTACTTTGTTTAGTTACTAGAGACAGTCGTACCTGATTAATTACGTATGTACCTTAAAGTTTTAGAAGTACGAGTTTATATAGTGTATAATCTACAAGTATTTTTTTCTATTACAAACAATAAGTATAATTACTAAAGAAGGCTGAAGGACTTTTTTGTATTTCCCCACAGGCGGGAGAGCATGTGTGAAATCTATATAATCCATGTTAAGCATACATAGCCCACTGTAAGCTACTGTCAGCCTCTACAGCTTCCGGGGACGATGCGGGACTATGCATGCTTATGATTTAAATTTAAAACGATCAAATCAAAATTTTTATTGATGCAGAAAATGTTCGTCATCTGTTTTAATTAAAATTATTGTCAGAATAAATGCAAGGCTTACGTCGGATACGTTGAAGTCAATGAATGCGTTTATTTACTTTATTCTCTTATTTTTATTTTTTAGGGTAAACCAACAAGAATATGCACTTATAACTAAATAAAATGTAATTACAATTAATGGAAAACACTGATAGGTATAATTGAATATTACTAAAAAAAAACCACGTGGACCAGGCAGCAGACGAGACTCGACTCCGCACCCTTCACTATCCAAGCGAATGCACTGACCATTATGCTACCGTGGCCCTAATGGCCGTGTTGAATTCTTTCTAGCCTTTCTTAGTCTGCAAGGCTAAGGGTGCGGGTTCGAATTCCGTCTGCTGCCTGGTCTGCGTGGATTTTTTTCTAGTGATATTTTCCTTATATTTAAACATCAATCAGTTACATGCTTAAAAAATAGATATAATTAAATCATATTGCAATACAGAAATCAACCAACGCTTTCTATAATATTTCTAATAGCATTAATAATAAAAATGACTTTTTTACTACAACTTTTGTAATGGTTTTTTATCTTCTTACATTTATGATAAGTTAGTGGACGAGTGTCTCTTTGCAGTATGCACCGCCATCGGCTGGACTGATCGAAAGAGTGCGTATAACCTGAAAATACCGATCTTACAGTGTTTTTAAATAATAGAACATTGACTTAGCCGAATCAGCTGATTTGAAGTCACGGCAGCGGGGAGCTGCCGGGCATACTGTCGATGAAGGTTCCTAGGGGGTTGTTAAGGAAGGCTTCTCAGCCGGGGGGCTGAAGCTAGGAGGCTAAGAGTAGCATGAGCAACGTGATATGATTTATAACGCGTTTTTATCACACTCAAATTACTATGGAGTTTGACAGTTAAACGTGATCAAAATATATATATATATATATATATATATATATATATATTTATATTTATATATATATATTTATGTGTTTGTGTGTATATTTATGTAAGTTTGGTCGTATGTATAGTTTAGTGTTAGTATATTTGCTCATTGTTTGATTTAATCTCTCTTCTTTGATTTTGCCGTTTTTTAGCTCTGTTTGTTCTTTCCGACTGATAGAGAATGCCATATTGGCATTAAGTCCGTTATTTGCAATGTAAGAGCAAAAAAGATTAAATAAATAAAATAAAAAACGTGATATAATGTAAAAAAAATAATTCAAAATTCAATATCGTTTATTCAGTCTAGGCTGTTACAAGCACTTGTGAATGTCGAAAAGCTACGCCATCGGTTCGCAAATCTGCGGCGGGAGACCTTGTACTGAGAAGAACCGGCAAGAAACTCAGCAAGGGCTGTTTTTTTCTCCCTGTATTATATACAGAGTCGTCAAATTGAAAAATGACTTCAATATGAGGTAACTCATAAAGTCACTTTTCAATAAAAACAAAAAAAAAATGCAAATAATATAAAAATTATGACTATAAAATAAAATAAATGTAAATTGTGGTGCTCACGTTACGGGGACAGGAGTGGTCCAAGCGACGGGGACTCTTATGGGATTGGGCACACGTGGGCAAATCAAGTCAAGGGCACCGTCTCGGTACGAGGGCAAATGGGGTTGGGGGTTCTCGGGAGCCCGGAGCATCTAGAGGTAGGAGATTGCGGGTGTCGGTCTTCGGGGTGAGTGTTCCCGAGGGTCGGAGAGTTCTGGATAGTGCAGTATATCAAGGGCTGGGAGCACTTCGAGGTAGGGTGACCTAGGGTCGGGGCACCTGAGGGTGAGAGTTCCCTGGCAAACGGACGAAGTTACTTTAGATAGTTGTAGTGGTCGAGCTACCTCCCTATGGTAAG